ATATATAATATATAATATATATGTATTTTGTATGTTTGTATATTGATACTGTTCTTGTGGAAAACAAATAAAAAGGTCATAAATCAGGACAAACCATTTCCATTAAAGTCACCAATGTACAGTACATCAATGTGCAGTTACCAAATTATACATAGACAAGTAATGATGAAAGGTAGAACAAACTGATTACGGGCAGATTTGAGTTGCCCATGACTGATAATTAATTAGAAAAGAAAAATACATTGAGTGAATGAGTGGAGGTGGGTGTCTCTACCCTCGCAACACTGCCCTTATTTGTATGGAGAGCTGAATGCCAAAAGCTAGCAGAGATAGTACATGTCCCGCATAACAAGAATTACTAGTCTGCTTGATGCAAGCGGAACGGACATTTCTTGACTCTATAACGTTATGTTAAAATGCATTGTTTGCCGATACATTATGCCGGATACACTAAATGAACACCAATGAGTCGTCATAGGCTCTTAATAATTCTCACACTGGTGTAAACCTCTGGCGCTGATGATTAAAACAATTTATTGCCAGAGTTTTGAATCATGTCTGGCGATACAAGGGACACAGGCTGGTACCGGGTACATCTGTCTAAATTAGCGGCGCAGGCAAACGCTGTTTACAGCTAGGATTACCTAACAGAACAAATATTAACTTACCCTGAGTGATGTAACGTTAACCAAGCATGTACCGGGTTGAGCTTTAAATTAATGTGAAAATGAAGCGCCAACAGTCAACGCTGCAAACCAGTCTGGCAAAACTGCTAACCAATCGCACGATGCTAATGCTAGCCAGTGAACTTAGCATAAGAGTTGAGTGCTATGCAATATGACATTTCGAGTTTTGGGAGGCCATGTTTCTCTCGGGGCGACACTAAAACGACTTTAGCTAACTAGCCAACTGCTTTAAACGATAGCACAGTAGTAACGTTACGTAGAAATGAAGTCACATAATAGCAATACAATGCTAACAATGCAAAGTTATCAAAGCTTTGTAAACTGCTCTCAAATCGACTTGAAACTGTGCATGCTAGCTTGCTAAGTGCTGACTATAGAGTGGGAGAGGAGATTATCTGGCTAACTCAGTGGCTAGCTTTACTGTGTACAGCTTTTATGCTACTAGCTAGCTAACGTTAGCTAACTTGGGGGGTTTACCACCGCGTCAGCTTGTTGGCTGCTTCTAGTGCCTTCCCAAAATACACTACGACTGACTTATTTAATTGACATGCGTGGAACTGCCTGATGTGGTATACATTTCTCTAGATAACAGCAAAATCTCCTTCCGTCAAAGTCTTTGAATATACTTTGGATAGAAGTAAACTCTTACCTGTAGCAGCCATCTTGAATTCTCTCAATCTGGAGTCGGATCTGTCAAGAACTTCGGGGAAAGCGGAAAGCCTCGGAAATGCTTTGTCGTCATTGGTTGGTTCTTAAAGCTGCGTGCTCTCATTGGACAGTCCAAACTGTACATGTCAGGGGTGGGAGTTGCGAATGTCATGTAAATGAACTACATTTAAGATTTTGCAGCAAGGGTGTACGACTACTACTTATACCAACACAAATAACTAAGTAATAAATAAATGTACTGTAAGTTATATAAAAGCAGGATTGCGCTATTTATACACTTACAGTATATATTTGTATATATATATTTTTTTTTTACTATGGGAAAATCCACAATTGAACCAACACAGGTCATTAGAAATGCATTTTATTACAAAACAGCACAACAGTTATAATACCCTTAAGTATGTGTGGAGTCCTACAATAGGTTTATCAAAAAAGGTTCTCTTTTACTTGAAAAATAGTCACTCATGATGGGTATGATGCAGTTTTATTACCCATTTACTGTAAATGTGACCATAATTGTTGACAATGGGAAACCCTTGACTTGAATTGATTACATTTCTCGAACAAAACCTCCCCAGTCATTTTAGAAACTCCATATTTTAAGTTCATCTTCATCAGTTCCTATTGCACACTGAGGAACCTCCTTTTCTTCGCAGTATGTGTATATGCATGGTGACGCCACTCAACGTCTGCAGTGCTCTCATTCTCCAGGGTGCCCAGTTTGATCATGTACACTACACAAAAGAACAGACGTATACATTTTACAAGTGGTACAGAACAGAGATCTTCCAGTATTTTCTTTAAAAGTTGTACACATTTCTACATTATCTTTATTCAAAAAACACCTGAAAAGCAAAGATTCATAACACTTCATGGATCTCAATGTAATGTATTTTGTCTGGTAAACATTCTAAAAAAATATTTGTACATTTCTCTCAATCTTGTATTTCAGCTTCTTGAATGATGTATAACACAATCTGTTTGTTTTTAGCAGTTTTTCTCCTGGTACGATTATATTTATAAAGGGGAGGTATCTTCAACCATTTTTGGCTTTAAGCCTCTCCTGTACATTGTTCAGTTTATCTGAAATGTTATTGTTATAGGAAAGTGAATTTCCTGAAAACAGAAATCGTCACATTCCACAGTGGTTATTTTTCTTCATTATTCATAAATCATTACCTTAGTAGTAAATCATTTTCCATTTCTGCTCTTGTTGAATAGTAGTTATTAACAATGACAATTTTTCTTACATAACTTCTTTCATAAGTTAAGCTTCTTCTAATTGGGTTTCACTGGTCCCAATTTAAAAAGGACCAGGTAGACACTGGTGTCATTAGATATTAGTCAATGTAAATTTGTATTATGTTTATCCATTGCAGAGATAGACCAACATTAACACTGGGAGGAAAAAACTAGCCTGAGCAATAGTGGATCTTTGAGTTCCTGATGAACCCAGAGATGTAATCTACCAATACTTACATCTCATTTCAAACCTGGGTCCTACTTCTGTCAGCTCAATGTTCTTGTGGTCTGTTTTCTTGTAGGTGTGATGTCTGTAATGTAAAAAAAAAAAAATAATATAATAATTACTCTTAGTACCGTTTTCCTCATATACCAAATGTATGATATTTACACTGAGGGACTGACCTGAAAGTGATGAAGTCCTCTTGGTTGGCGAATGTGATTACACGCCTACTGTCCTCCTTCGGCACTGGAAAAAGATACTTGAGGATATTGGATACCTGTGTAAGAAGAATTAATTAGTTGCACTCACAACCAAGTGGTGAAAGAGAATATCAATGGCATGTGTACAGTGCACGGTCCAGCACTCGCTCACCCTCTTGCCGAGCCGCGACGTGAAGTTGTGAAAAATGAGGTGGGGGTAGGCCTCGGACATGGTGCCTATGTCTGGAACATCGTGCCTCATTACCACGTTGTAAAGAGTGAAATAAGCTGTTGGTCCAAATGGCAAATGGCACACCACCAGGCCATCTATAAACATACAGGAAGAAAAAAAAAATAAATAATCAGACACTCCAATGCAGTTTCTATGTACCGACTCTAATTATAGGGTGCACTCCGTTTAAAATCACATTATACCACTTGTAAAATGTTAACATGATTTTGACAAAATGATTTTTAGCCATGGGAGTGGTATGACATTAGGTATAGGGCTGTGTAACTGGCAGTGCTGGCTAGGGATGTCACGAGAAATGATGCTTCAGTACCAAGTTGATGTCAAAATTCGGAATACTTGATGGTACTTGGTTTTTTACAGTACCGTGCAATTCTTTCGGACCTGACGGGGCTGCATATA